TCCGACTATTGTCTGGCGCGGGCAGGCCCCGGGTCAGATAACCAGACCAATCAGGGCGCGGGCCGCCGCGCCTCATGCCCGCTTAGAATAATATTATTAAAAAAGCGAGAGAGCTAGACGGGAGGGAGACCTAGTGAGCAGCCAGCGAGGGAGCGACAGTTACATATTGTTTTTGTGATTAATCACTATGCTTTAATTATGTTCAATTTGTAACAATGAAATTGGGGGTCACCACAACATGAGGAACTGTATTAAAGGGTCGCGGTTTTAGGAAGGTTGAGAACCACTGTCCTAGAGCAAGTGCTTATTTAAACTTTCTACTTCTGCTCTTTGTGGCGTGCGTGTGCGAGGTGCTGCAGCAGGGCGGCAACATCGAGCGGCTGGGCCGCTTTCTGTGGTCGCTGCCCGCCTGCGAGCACCTTCACAAGAATGAAAGCGTGCTCAAGGCCAAGGCGGTGGTGGCCTTCCACCGCGGCAACTTCCGCGAGCTGTACAAGATCCTGGAGAGCCACCAGTTCTCGCCGCACAACCACGCCAAGCTGCAGCAGCTGTGGCTCAAGGCGCACTACATCGAGGCCGAGAAGCTGCGCGGCCGGCCCCTGGGTGCTGTGGGCAAGTACCGCGTGCGCCGCAAGTTTCCGCTGCCGCGCTCCATCTGGGACGGCGAGGAGACCAGCTACTGCTTCAAGGAAAAGAGTCGCAGCGTGTTGCGCGAGTGGTACGCGCACAACCCCTACCCTTCCCCGCGGGAGAAGCGGGAGCTGGCGGAGGCCACGGGTCTCACTACCACACAGGTCAGCAACTGGTTCAAGAACCGGCGACAGCGTGACCGGGCAGCCGAGGCCAAGGAAAGGTACGAGTAAGTAGAGCTCCCCTTGGGCTCCAGGGAGGGGGTCGCATGGCGTGGGCTCAACTCCCAGGAGAGGCCTACACCGGGCCCCTAGTCAAAGCCACCACGGCCCAAGTGAATCCTGGCCTGACCCGGGTGGCGCTGAGATCTTTTGGGAGACCCAGAGGGCAGGGATTTGTCTAAAGCGGGCAAAGCCATTGGGGAAGTTATTGACTGACGCCCGGGTCGCTTGTGGACAAAAATGGAGACGCAGTGAGCTTCCAAGCAAAAGCAAGACCAAACCGTGATCCTGGGTCGCCTGAGAGTCCTCCAAAGGACTGAGTGGGTTTGGCCTGTTGGGGTTGCTGATTTCAGGAGGCCTAAGCGAATTCGCTAGCACTTCTAGCACCTCCGCACTTCCCTTGGGCCTTACTCAGTTCTAGGCCCTCTAGCCTGGGATTGGAACTTCCCTGGAATGACCTGAATGCGGAGGGGCCTGGGCAAGAATTTTCCTTGTCTGGATATGAGTTGACAGCAAGAATCTTTTATCCCGCATAGAAAGGACGGAGAGGCCAAGAGCTGGTAAGTGTCAGCTCTGGGAGAGAAGAGAAACATAGGCCCCTTTTTCCGCCTTGTTGGACCCAGCAGCCCTTCCCTGGCCTGCCATGCCCTGGACCCCTCCCTCCTTAGGTTTTACCCACCCTGGTGGGTAGGTCTAGGTCTAGGGTGAGCTGAGAGCAGCAGAAAGGCTGAGCGTGGCTTGTCCTCAGGGAAACCAAGACTTCCTGAACTAGCCTAACAGTGACCTAGGCCCTTGTGGCTGCCAGCCCTGTTGCCCCTCAGAAATCCAAATCTGGACCTGGGAGAGAAACTGATTGTGGGGGCAGAGGCCAGCCTTAGGACAACAGCAAAACAAGATACCTGGGGTTGGTGGCACCGGTGTATGTGAGCCAGAGTTTGCATGATTAGGGTTAGGTGGGGGTACTGAACGGTGGACCCAGATCTCTGGAAGGGCAGGATGGGCTGCTTCAGGGAGACCCTAGTCTCTGAAACCATGAGGTTAAGGTATCCACAGTTGTAAGGTATCAGCTCTGTGGGAAGTTCCCTTCCAGGAAAACAGGAAGAAAGGGCTTTGGGAAGCCGGTAAAGAAAATCTACCCAAGATTTCAAATCTTCAAATCTGGCAGGGTTGCCAGTCAAAGGAAAGGCAAGGAGGTGGGTTCTCGCTGCTAGGGTCCCCTTCCACCCAGACTGGCATGCGTCTAGACTCCGGAGGAACTTGGTTCTCAGGCCAGGCCCCAGGTGAGGGCCGCAGAGTCCCTCCTTTTCCTGTATGACAGGAAGGTCTAGGCACCTTCGTTCTCCTGTCCCGGTTCTCCTACGAGCAGCTCTCCAAGCCCCCAGTTTCCAGTCCCTCAGAGGAAAGTTTTCACCATGCCACCAGGGAAAGGGGGTCCTGTATCTGTAGGGCTTTGTCTCTAGCCCCAGCCAGGAGACCCCTCACCAGGCCTGCCAGTTTGGAGCTGGAGGGAAAGGACTCAGCTCCAGGAACCTGCCCGCATTGAGGGATTTCCCTCCAGAGGAAAGGAAAAGGAGAGGAGGGCCTCGGAGGTCCCCAACTTTAAGCGACTAGTATCTAAGGCAGCTGTGGGCAAACTATGGCCCGTGGGCCAGATCCCGTTTTGAAATGAATAAAACTAAAAAAAAAGACCGTACCCTTTTATGTAATGATGTTTACTTTATTAGTTCACACAAACACTCCATCCATGCTTTTGTTCCGGCCCTCCAGTCCAGTTTAAGAACCCATTGTGGCCCTGGAGTCAAAAAGTTTGCCCTCCCCTGGTCTAGGGCCTCTCACCCTCCCGGCCCTACATCTACCCAGCCAGCCCTGGATAGAGGAGCCAAGTTGTGAAAAGCCAGACCAACTCCAGGGAGCCATGCTCCCCGACCCCGCTGCTCTGGGGAAAAAATGTCAGCAGGTCAGTGACGGGGGCAGGGA